AACAAGTGAAATGAGAGAGACGAACAGATGAACAAGAAATGCTGCTGCTGCTCGAAATGATGCTGGAGAAATGTGCCGCCAACTGGGTTTCGGAAGGAGCACTGTGCATTGATATTCTTTATTATTTATTTAGTTGGAAATTACTTGTAGACCCTTTTTGGGAATTTTTTTTTTTTTTTTTTAAAGTTGTTCATGCGCATTCCCTATGCAAACATCCCTGCCCGTAGCACTACTCAAAAAATATATATATATACACGAAAAGCTAGTGGCTCAGGATCCAGCTCAACCCGCCCCACCAAGGGACCTGAAATTCTCGAAAACAAACCATCATGTAGACAAGCACGAGCTGACTAACGTAGTGGGCCGAGCTGAACCCGACAGTGGACAAATCGAGTAGCTCATCTCGACCCATTCAATATCACTAGCTCCTTCACACCAGCTAAAGAAAGGAGCATCTGACATTAGCTAGATTTTTTTTTTTTTAATTGTTCTTATGTATGTGAATAATTCGATTCCTATGGAGAGGACACAAGAAGTTTAAAAGATTTCAAATTCTCAATTTGATGCAACACCACCACTAACGTATCTCAAATCCCAATAGAACTGCCATTTCGTTGTCATCAGCCAAACTAATTTAAGTGCCTGTTTGTCAACCATTATTGAGAAGAAAATGGTGTAATGAATAGTATTTTTTGAAAAATGTGTGGTTGAAATTGAAAGAAACTTTATCAGTTTATGTGTAGAATATTTTATTATTTGAATATGTGGTAAATATTGATTACTGTAGAAAACAATTTTTTGAAAAATGGTAGACAAACATGGTCTAAATAAACTAAAATCTTATTCACCGTACTATCAATACTGTCCATACCGTGAATCAAACATTGAAATCATCACACTATGTCCTCAAACAGGACAATAAAACATGGATAATGACTAATTCAACAAAAAGCCTGAATTCTGGCATTTATTGTTTATTTGCACCTATTGAGCAGGATAGAACCAACAGGGGCCAACCATTGATATAGAACTTTGGTACATCCAAATAAGAAGCCATTGCTCTCTTCATGCACAAGGAAGGTGCCGAAAATTGCAATTCC